ATCCAGGGAAGTGTCTTAGGTCCACTCTTGTTTCTAATGTACATAGATGATATACGTAACACTATAAAATTTGGAAGAGCATACTTATATGCTGATGATCTGAAAATAGTATACAGCTGTAAGCCTGAAGATCTTGATAACTTAACTACCTGGAGCGAGACATGGCAACTCCCGTCTAACCACAACAAATGTGGCATAATGCATTTCAGCAAGCATCACCTTGATACACCACTCTACTTTCAAAAATATAGGGTTCAGACAATTACATCAGCGCGTGACCTTGGTATTAGTTCATCTAAAAGCCTAAAATTCGAAGAACATGCCTCAAATATTATCTCTAAATCTAGACGACTAATTAGGTTTATAAACAAGAACCTCTTGGCTGGTGATGCTAAGCTTACTCTCTTCAAAATCTGTATAAGGCCCACACTTGAATATTGTTCACTCATCTTTTCAAACTTGAATATCATGGACAAAATGCGGGTAGAAAATGTACAAAGAAGCTTCACCCGGCGACTGCTCAGATTGAGCCATAACCTCGACTACACAGAAAGATGCAAGCATCTTTCCCTAGAACCTCTATGGCGCCGTCGTCTCAAAAAACCTAATGCTCCTCTATAAACTAATAAATGGCATTTCGTTCGTAAACTACCGCCCAAATATGAACCACGACACTGCTTACAGACTTAGAAACAACGCATATACACTATTAATGGCAAAACATAAGAAATTATTGCGTTGTAATTTGTTTGTAATACGGTACAGTCTACTGTGGAACAGGTTAACAATTACTATCCTTATCTGTGACACAATCACTAAGTTCAAGAAACTAGTCATGCTGTTGCTAGACTCTAAAGAGATATATCGACTACTCCAGGAATTCACACCAAGTCCCCAGGCACTCTTTTATGGTCCACCAAATATTTAGATTAACCTCAGAAATGAATTATAGACTATGAACATATTGTGTTCTCATTACCACCCATACATGTATCACGAAATGATAGACAAATCCCCCTGCTCCTACTAACAGTAATAGGTTACGCCTTTGAGATGTTACCCGTGACTTTTCTCTGAATTTAAATTCCGATCATTATTTTCATATCTTCAAAGCAGTTTTAGTTTTTATTTCTAGTAGACAGACAAATTGACAAGCCTGTAGATGCTACTGTCAATTACAAGGAACTCAAACACTGTGTATCATTGTATCTTATTTAAGTATTAACAATTTAACAAATTTTTATTTCCCCAATTCATTGACATCCAAACACCTTGCCTACTTACCAACTTATCGCTTTACTCATTAATTTTTAACATTATTTCAACTCATTTTTTTCTCTCTTTCTCCTCGTTCCAGCTCCCTGTCCTTCCTATTTCCAAACTACCTATTAACTGACTCATCTTACAAATTATACCATTCATTTACTTAAAATCAGTGTGATATATTATCTGGCAAAGTTGTCTGGATTGCTTGTAATATGGAGCTAGTAGAGAAAGTTAATTCCGATAAGGTGTACAAAAAAAAATTTGAGAGTAGACTAGAGACCATTCTTTACAATCCACCATTAAACGTAAGAGAGCCTAACATCACAAAAGGAGGGAGGGTGGTGTATCTGACCAGCATTCATGACGGTGGGGCGATAACCTCAATCTACCCATGTCTGTGTGGCAGAACATTTTGTTAGCTTACGGCTCCTTACGATATAGCAGGATGTAACAAATCAGTGATATTGATGTTACTTTTCCTAGTTAACCCCGTCTACAACCCATGTCTGTAACCTTGCACTGGTTTTTACTTCCTACCGAGAAATCCTATTACAAGCTGGTCTGGACAACTATACTAAAAAAGAGCTCATTCATAACTTCTTGAGCCGTAGAGTTAAAAATAAAAAGAATAAATGAAATAAAAAAAATTATATCACTGAGCCTTTTTACTATATTTTGTAAATCAATATTATGACTAACAACTTGGTTCTTCTGAATTTCCTCTATTCATTTGATTAACTTCCCATTAGTTATCTTACTACTGAATTGTCTTCATTAACCTAGATAAGTGCAGGTGTACAGTTAGTCTTCTGATATTAAAAAAGTCTGGGTAAACATACCTTTTTTTATCCATAAATTTATGTGCCAAGCCGTTGTTCGGCTTTGAACAAGGACATTTTCTGTTCCGCTCCTCGTCCCGTTTGCTTTATTTCTCTTTTTTCAGAACCTTATTCCAATCCTCATATATTAGTCTGGATATTTACAGTAGACTTGGTCACCCTACCCAAGAACATGTGAAATCATTAGCTGATAAGTATCAACCAGACCTTTGTACATTTACCGCACCAATTCTTGTTATATGAAAACCTATCTCTACCATGAATCGTTTCTCAGTCCATAAGATGATTGTCGTAACGCAGCCTTCGTAAGTTGCGCCAATTATTCGCATTTCACATTCCATCTTTAGGAATCCAATGAATCTCGTGAAATGTTTCAGTAGCTGTATACCATTTTAAAAGAAAGATGTTGCTAATCCTAACATTTTGATCTTGTCTGTAAATTGGCATGTCTCTCGTAACATGTTTGTTATTTGAGAATAAATTATTATTATTATAAACTGTGAAGGTAAGCTGATACTCTAGTTTTGCTCCTTCCCGTTATTGAAGTACAGTATGTCGATCTATTTGCAATTCACTAACCCAAATTAACAGCAGAACCAAACTCCAAAGTTAAGTACCAAAGTTTATTCGCAATTCACAAATAGTCGACCAAAATGTCGTTTTAACGACAATAATTATAATAACTACAAACCTTCAATTTTATAGGTTCCTGGAGCAAAAGCTGCTAATTAGCGAACCAAGACAAACAGAAACCAAAATGTCCGAAAATAATAAATCAAACAAGTTCACAAGTTATGTAAAACAAATATACCCAAAAAACAGTGAAATTAATGGTATTTATATAAAGGTTTTAATCAGCCAAATGTCTTCATTTCTCCCGTAACATCTAGATCTCCTCAATGAAAAGTTAGCTAGGTGGTGCAAACTTCAGTACTGAGAAATCAATTTTATTGATTTCATGAGTTCACATTAGTAGTCGTCAGTGAGCCATCACACTCTGAAGCTGAAAAATTAAAGTTTTAGGATATGCCATCAAAACAACGGCTTACTGATGAGGGTTTCTCATGCTATTTTAGCTCCTCAGAAAGTTTGAATGGATTGAATTTGGTGCATCATTAATATAGGGCTTTACGTAACTAGTTCACATTTTATTCACTGATGTATTTGAATGTCGTTAACGACTTAAGGGTCATTTAGCATGGGCTTTTTATTCTTTCCTCCAAGAAATGAATAAAGCACCCTTACTTTTCTCTTATTTCCCAGTATCTTATTACGGACAGATATTGTGTTCTTAGTAATCAGGAATGAGATCACCGTTTATCTCTGGTTAATTTCAATAGAATGACTAACCGTCAATTGTATTTATGTATTCACGGAATAATCCCATTTGTAGTCTGGAACTTATCCCTAGTTGAGAGTCGTAATATTAGTGTTGACACACAGTTTGAAACGATCAATAGCCTATTATTCTGATAATGGTTTTCTCTAAAAAGGTTTAACCATTCGAAGAATAAATATCTTGCAGAATCTTATCGCTGAAGGTCTTTGTTTTGAATGAGAAACTGAGATAACAATAACTACTGACATAAACCTACTCCACTGCAATACTCAATATGCGGGATCAAGAATTCGCGCAGTCATGAAACTGCTGAGTGTGTAGATATGACTTAAGCAGCTTGTTAATAGATGATTAGATTTGCTCTGGTTAAAATTGTCACTGTATTTGATAATGTACCGAGTATGCTAGATACGATGACGCTGTTGCCCATTTTACTCGATACTCTTTCAATCGGGCATTTTCAGGTCCAAAACATGAGCTTCATGTTATCTTCACAGTGAAACTCATAGAGAACGGCCGCACCAACCTATTGTAAAAGAAGTTCATTCCAACTAGTGATATCAGGGACTAACAATTTGGAGATTGCTATTGTTCGATTTTGTCTTATTTTATTTACTAGACAGATCAAGATTTAATTTATATAGCCATCGGAGAGATGATTCCTTTTGTAGTGGTCAATAAATTCTAGAAATAAATCGTTTTGTAAGTCGTTAACAATGATGCTGACTTCATTGGTCCTCCTAGATACACCCTGGATGAAGGCGTTCTATCATGCATCCGGATCAGCCCACAATTGTTGACACCGTACTACACATTTTTCGTAACAACTAGATCACACACTTATATACATATAACTTTTGCAAATATATTTTTGGAATCTTTTCCTCGCTTCCGGTTTTAGAACTACATGCACCAAATGTTTGCCATATATTTGTTTTGAATGTACGTATTCTTTTTTAAGATTCACTTATCGTTCAGTATGAGAATGAAGTGCACTGTTCAGACGATTTTTGTGGATAGTAATGATTATGCCAGCATTGCGGGTCAACTTGAAGAATCAGCTTTCAACTTCGAAGCACATTACAGTCGAGTTCTGTTTCACCTCAGACATAAAAGTGAGATTAGATCCATCGAATATTTGTTATTGTTAAGTGATCAGCGTTAAATTTTCCTTGATAGACCTCTGTCTTTGCTTTCAGTTACTTTTTGTTGAGATGTTCCGTTGTTCTGAGAATTTCATGATTGTCAGTCTTTGCGCAAAAGCCTAAGGACATTAAAATGTCAGGATAAAATAACATCCAAAACATCATTATTATCCAGGAGACAAAAAACTCTGTCTTCAGTGATAAAATATAATCATGAAATAAACCGAACTAACTTGGTTTGGTTGATATTCTGTATCAATATTTTAGTGATTTTCTGCATTAATAAATTCCATACTGATATATCCTTCTTTTTTTAGATTGTATGCATACAGTTTAGTTTGATAATGAACATTTTTAATTTGCACTTTTATTGAACCTAATGAGAAATACATTGTAACAAGTGAACAAAGCACTAAATTATAGTGGCCTAAATGAGTGGTTGCGCTATGTTTGTCTGAAGGTTGTGGAGGCTTGTGTATCCTTGTAACACATTCGAAATCTTACATTACCAACCTTGAGTTGTGATTATTAGATTTTCTAAATCTCACGCTTGTGTTATTTTCAGTTTTTGTCCATTACTTATATTACTAAATGTAAGTTCATTCCGTGTGCTGACTGAGTCTTCGACTTACTTCTCGTCTCTTTTTCTCTTTCAGATTCTCACCTATTGTACTTCACACTCCCTCATCACACGAAGTACCTTCTGACTAGATCCAAGCCTACTAAGGACAACGTTTGCTGCAAACCATTCATACTCAAACTAAATGAGTATTATATGCATGAATCATTGCATCTCACTGCTTCAAAGAACTGTTGACTCTGTCAATTTACTTCAAGGCCTCTCGAATCGTGATGAAACTTCCAGACATGAAGCGGCTCGTACTATTCAACGAATATTTGATTCATGGTATTTTGGCTTTGGTAGCCCTGCTGTCGCTGGTTTCCTAGAGACTGTTGCCAATGATACTGGAGGGGCTACTCTTGATACTTCTATGCATGGTCTGATCACGGAGCAAGTTCCAGATCTTTTGAGAATCTTGCATACCGCTCCATTGTCTGACATACGGTCTGCCGCTAGAGATATCTTGCGTGATTTAAAGGTTGTAATATGAAATTTTTCCTAATAAGTTTATAGATCCAAAAAGGGTTCAAAATTCCGAATACTGTAACATCCTCTCCTAGTTTCGTTCAATCACTGAGTGTAATTTTAGTTCTTAATTAATAATTTAATTGTAGATGGATCATATGAAATGCATGGTTGATGAACCGATTGAAGGCGATCCTTTTTATACTGTACGTACCCATCCCTCACATTTTATGCACCCATCTCAAACTGGTTTTATGAAATGTAACATTCACCGTTTTTATTGTTGTATTAATCAAAAAGGAATAATCGTCGCTTAAACTTATCACACACACAATGTTAAATTTTATTGAGAGCACTGTTGTATCGCCAGTTTGTTATTGTAAACAAACAGTCCGCTCTTTTCGCTATTTACCAAAATTTCTACTCTAAAGGAAGAGGGCCTGTCCCTTATACGCATCATTTGTTTGCCGATTTTAACATTTCTCTCAGTTACGGATTCTCTGTCCGAGAGTTTACATCACGAATCAAATATTAGCTGTCATGTAGTCAGTGATGTATGTTTATCGCACTGATGATCTTAGTTTGAGGAGACTGATGATATAAGGTTTCTTCCTGTGCGCTCATTAATTCTTTTACACATTTTCAAAACCTGGGTTCCATACTCGTATAAATCTGTCACTGAATGACTTCGTAGGTATATAAGTTAAGATCATAAAATATAATACGTTAGAAGTACCCTTACTACATTATTAAGTTAGTTGATGTCAAATTCGATAAAAAGTTCTTTCAATTGAATATCTTGCGGGAGGCATAAATTGTTCCAAAGTTTTCCACTAGGAGAAAAACTTAACTTATATTACATGGTAAGCCCGTTTAAATGTGTGTTTTGGCAGTTTCAAGAGTAATATAGTTTCTCATCAAAGTTTGTCGAAAGTCAGCAGTTGAAAGGATAATTCTTCAAAGAATGCAGGTTATGAAAGATGATCTTCCAATCACGAAATTTGACTCGTAGTTAAGTAAAACATAGCTATTGTGCATTAGTATCTGGTAAAAACATCCACTAATTACTGGACAAATTGAAATATTAGGAATTACGTACTTGGTCTTGTTGTGTTTCGTCCAATTCCATTAGACTTCGTTGGTTTGCTTGAAATATATCATTTATTGCTTAACATGCGGGAACTGTATAAGCAGTAAGTTTGTAGCTCACTATACACTTTCAGCATTCCTAATTCACATTTTTGACATTTTTAGAGCAGCTAGAAATGATGCCTTAAAATAATGCTATATACTGCTTTCTATATTTACCGTTTGGAATCCACTAGTATCTTTTATATTCAGTATTCTTGATTTAGATTTATTCTTCATTTTTGGTTCCATTATCATCAAAAAGTATACACACGCAGATTTAAGTACGTCACCGCGGTTGCTGTTTTCAGTTATGAAATGTAATGTGTTACTAGATATTCTCACTACCGGTCCCATTTCTCTAGCAAATTTCTAGCACTAGTAGACGCTGTTGTTGTATATAGTCTAAATAACTGATATCAATAATGACATCATAATTGAAGATTTGTTTTTCCCAAGTAATTAAAAGGGACAAAAAGCTAGACTTGGAATGTTCTAATGTAAGTAATTTTTTTATAGTTTGATCTCGGGCAGATCATCAGTTTAATGTCCTTACTAATACAAAAAATTCCATGTATCATAGAAAGTTACATTCAAAGTTGTTTTCTTCTGTTTTATGCAGACTTATATCTTGTTTCGTGAGTATTGGTTTCAATGGGGACGCCTAAACAATTACATCAATGTAATGGGATATCATCCTGAATATCTTGAATGTTACATGAAACTAAAGGATCATCTTTTTCGCGGTGACTTGCCATTACCTTATCCGGATCGTTATTATATAGCTATTATTGTAAGTTTCACTGTTTAACGGAGTCATGACAAATCCCGCTTATCTTTTATGGGATTTAAATCAAAACAATATTCGTATCAAGTTTTCGAGAGACTTATGTATTCCGCCATTTTGAATAGCTAGCTTTTTCTTGGCCTAGTAAAAAATGCGCACGGTCAATGTGCCACACTTCTTTAAAGTCTTGAGAGTATGGCATATCATGTGAATATTTAGCCTCAAAACCTAAAGTCAGCAACTTCCGCTCGGCGAGCTTTGATATCTTCCAAACAGTTGTGACAGAAACTGAGTAACATAACCTATTTAGTTGCCTTTAGTGACCCATTAAACAGTACCCTTGTCAAAATAAAGAACCAACTCGATTTACTCTTCGTGTATCTACTAGCCCTGATGCTGCTTCCCGGGGTCTCTCTGGTATAGATATAGCATTCTGTCCACTGACTGCAGTTCGGACGAGGTGAAAGATGAGTTTCACAGAAAGCTTTCGGACCTCCTTCAAAAAGTTAAGCGCTCTGATATTGTTATAATGGCTGGTGACTTCAATGCTCAAGCAGGTGGACTAGGTGAAAAGGAAAAACACCTAAGTGAATCTTATGGTGTCGCAGCTCAGAGAACACACAATGACGACTGTCTGTTGCAACAGTGCTCAGATAACCGCCTATTTCTAGCAAACACTAACTTTAGGCATAAGGGAAAGCATCTCTTGACATGGGGACCCCCGAAGTCGTCTCAACGTTGTACCCAACCAGATCACATTGCCATCAACCACCGATGGAGAGGATGGATAGGGGACTGTCGCTCGTTCTCGGGCACATGTCCAGATTCAGATCATGCCGTAGTGCGAGCGCGTATTTGTATTTACTGAAATCAGGCAAAATATTGCAAGGAAACCTCTTAGGGCTCTACTTAATGATAATAAAGCTAAGAATATATTTCAGAAACTACTAGAAAAACAGTTAAGCAGCCATGTAGTAGGTGATGTCCACCCTGAGGCAGCTTGGAATGATATCATAAAGCCGTGGAAATAATAGTGATATCCGCTAGTAAGGTAATCTATACGGTGAGGGAGAAGCCGTGGATTTCAGTTGCATCTACAGAACTGATGGATGTTCGAAAACACATCCTATCTGTCTCTGAGTGTGATGGGGAGTGCAGTCAGCTTGGGCGCAGGTTGATGGAAAGCCTATGTAATCATCGCGAACTGTGGTGGGTAGCGGAAGTGAGAGAGATGAAAACGGCAGCGGTGATAGGTAACGAACGACACTTGTTCCGACTTATCAAAGAAAGCGGTATTAGGAACCCGAATGTGAGTGAGACTATTTCAGAAAAGGTTGGTCTTATTATCCATTCTCAATCCAGGAGATTGGATAATAGGCAGAACAATTTAGGAATCAGTTCAACTGGCCTTCAACCACACTCTGGATACCCACGGGCTCCATTCATCCTGAATGGCAAGTCAATGTAAGTCTTCCGAATCTTCGTGAAGTTGAGAAAGCTATACGAAATCTGAAACAACGCAGGGCAGCAGGACCTGATACATTGATCCATAAGATTTTTAAGAATGGTAGTCCGGTTTTAGGAGTTAGATTGACCGAGATCTTAGGTAGAATCTGGGAACTGGGCGTAATGCCGTCCGACTGGTCTCAATCACTGATTGTCCCAGTCAACAAGAAAGGACAAACGTCCTCTTGTGACAATCACAGGGGAATAAGTCTAACTAATATAGTTTCTAAAATTTTGACCTCAATACTACCCCGACGCTTAAAAAACGTTCGTGAAGAGCGGACTAGAGTAAACCATGCTGGTTTTCAACCTGGACGTGGATGTATAGACCAAATATTCACACTATATCAGGTCCTAGAACAAAGGCGCACGTTCAGATGCCCCACACTAGTAGTATTTCTCGACCCTGAAGCTGCATCCGACTCTGTTGATCCCGAGGTTCTCTGGCAGTGGTTGTCATTAAAAGGTTTACCAAATAAGTACATTAACCTTATACAGGCTCTCCACTCGAACACCACTGGTCGAGTGAGAGCTTATGGCGAACTGTCATCGGAATTGATTACTTCAAGTGGTGGCCGTCAGGGCCGTCACTTTCTCCATTCTTGTTTAACTTTGTCATATACATGCTTTCAGAAATAAAATTATCCTCGTCAGATTTTTCAGGGGTGAACCTTCTACCAGGAGGATCACATTGACCTAGGATATGCCGATGACATAGTTCTATTCGGTGAAGACGCTGACAAAATGCAGTCTTCTGACTACACTAAGCAATAATATAAGCATGTTCGGGATGCGGTTCACAATGTTGCTTCAAGATATGCTTGCATCTGTAGTGAAACGGAGTGACGTAGTCGAACATGTAGACCGCTTCACTTATCTGGGACGTCTCATCTGTGCTGATGGCCTGGTGACTGACGAAATCTCAGCTCGGATACAGAAAGCTCGATTGGCTTTTGCCAACTTGCGTCACTAGTGGCGTAGGCGAGTTATCCGTTTGCTAACTAAAGGACGAGTATACTGCGCAGCAGTTCTCTCCGTCCTACTTTATGACTGTGTGACATGGGAGTCGTAGAAGAAGATATTCGTAGGTTGCTTGTCTTCGATCATAGGTGTCTGTGAAGCATTGCTCGTGTATCCTGGGACAACTGAGTAAGCAATGCTATCGTTAGGAAACGAGTACTAGGTAAGGATGGAAGATCCCTCGACGAGCAATGTTTTGTGGTGTAGGAGTAGGTTGGAGGAAGCGTAGGGGTGGCCAGACCAAAACATGGCAGAAATCCATGAAGTCACTGACAAGTGGATTGAGTCATGTCGGTAGGTGTCGCCTACCTCGTTGGGATCCGCGAGACGAAAGTCACCAATGGTTAGAGACCTTGAATGACTTGGCTCAAAATCGTTTGCGATGGCGCAGCTGCATGCACTCTTTGTACTTTCTCAAATTCTAACCTGAATTCCTCATAATCTCTGTCATTCTCTCTCTAACTTTATCTCACCGAGTTATACTTCTCGAATCATATCTTCGAACCCAAATCTCTCCGATTACTGCTAATACTTCTTCTATCTCTACTACTGTGGGATTTGAACTGACAGTTGCGTCTGTGTGTTGATGTGGTATGGCAACTTGAACTGATGTACGTACGTACCAAGTTTTGCGTTGTAACTGATTGACCGATCGTCGGTCTGGTTTTCAATTATTTTCAAGTCATGGAGCGCGATATGTACTAACTCTTAATCGTGGCCTCAGCTTTAGATTTAGCTTAGCTGGAAAGAAAGAGTGGTCAAGACAAATTCTGATTGCTTCTATTGCTACGCTATGCTATAGAACTACGGAGACCTCCAATATTTCTGCAAACTGACCATCAATTCTCCATAGATGAGCGCGAATTAAGTTTAACTGTAGTCAACTTTAGTATCTGACAACAAAATTCAGAGCTAGAAACCCAAGCCATTATGTTTGAATTAGATCTGATAATAACTACACTAATATTAGTTAACAGTGATACTGGTCACTAATTATGGTTAGTAGATCTTGCTGCGGTAAGAACCTCACATCAATAGCCAACAAATTCCTACCACTGTTACATTATGGATCGAGCGAAGATAAACTTCTACGCCATTAAAATACGGCTCATTGATCCATAGGTTGAGTTTTCGCTCGTGAAATTGATTGATTCGATTCGATTCCTGGACATGGAGTCGTGAATCCCTGCTCATAATGAGCCCCGTATTAGAACAAAACGGTCGTTCAGCGCACACATGTTTCCAGTCGGTTTGCAATTTTATTAGGAATATTATATAGTTGATAAATTTTTTCCACTTATTGTTTATTAGCGTTCTTTTGCTCTTCTTATTCAAATATTCATCATTTTAGGCGGCTGCGCAGCAACGGTGTATTTACTTAGTTCTTTTTTTCGTGCGTCAATTCATTAGTTCTGGTGGTCCTTTGTCGTGGTTACAGGGAGTAAAATATGGGCCTCCAAAGTGGCGTCAATTATGTGGATTAAACGGAGATCTGTCTGATCGTCCTTGGAAGATAACGGCTGTAAGTTTGACACTATATCTGTGCACAGTTATGTTTCTTTTTATTCGAGTCTTAAGTTTGACTTCAATAACGAACGTTACTTCAAAGAGTTACAACGTCAAGTCTCATTTTTTAGCGCTGGTGTTGTAACTCTAAGTAATATAGCATCCATTAGTCATACATTGAATTATCTCGTGGACGAATTTCTGCTATTTTCTAACATTGTATCAATTTATTTCTTTTAGTTTTAAAGGTTAGTTTAGTTCATAGATAATATCCCTAATGGTATTGATTAAACTACCATTGAAAACCTAGAAAAACTGGATAGCTGTTTCATCCGAGCGTGGAACTACTCGATATTACGCGTCCCTGGTCTTGGGATTAAGTTCAACACCTTTAATTCTGTCGGCGGCCACCTATCGATTAAACTATGGATTAGCGCTCAAAATTAAATGTTCCCAACGATCAGGCGCAGAGACCAACTAATTGCATTTATGACGACTATTGCACTCTCAATATGTCTGAATTGTACGGGTTAGGACTTCCTACTAGAAATTTAAAACCCACCTCGAAGTAGATCAGTTATGAGCGCACGACCATAGCTCTTACATGGAGGTTTTATGGATGTTAATTTAATTTGTAGATAGCATTTGCGATGGATTGATCACAATTGAGGTTCCATCTGCAAATTCATTTAAGTGTTATGTTGGTATAAATTCATGTTTAAATCATAAAATTTAGAATGTGTTGCAAATACAAATCATATCCCACTTAACTTCCAGCAGTTATACATAGTTTCATGGTTTATGAAGCTCGTTGGATTGTTCAAAATTTTTTGGTTTTCCATATCTTCACTTTTGTGAAACTTTTGATTAGTAACTAAAAGACTCCAATATCAACCGTTTTTCAAAATAAGACGACGTTTTTAATAGAATATCTGTAGTTTTCTATTCGATTAATATCAGTGCTAGATAACTTATACTGATTCCAGGTGCGTTGACCCAAGTTGGAATTAAGAAAATAATTAACGAAGAAATCTTAATGATGAATAGCACTAATAATGACAGCTACTGGTAAGACGTGATGAAGTAGTTTCTAGGATGGAATAGTGAAACTCGAGATGAAGATGAGGAGTAAGTAGATCTGCACCATTCCTTCCGATTTAGATCCGTTCCACTAACATTCTCCACTCATTAATTAGGGTTATTGCCCAAACCATAACTAGGTAATTTGCGCCTACAAACGTGGTTCAGATTAGCAGTCAGCGACTCTATGTACTGATGCTGTATCTTATTTTTACTGTCTCTGGTTTTCTTCCATGTACCTATTGTGGTAGTTATGTTTTCAATTCATGTGGTTCACTCAATAAATACTACTAAGAAAGTAGACGTTAATCAACCTACTACTTCAGCATTTACACTTAGGGAAGCAGTTGCTTAAGATATCTTTCGTAGACAGCTTTGATCATTCTCACCTCCGTAGCCACTTTCGACTGATTCACTTAGGTAGCAGGTGCTAACGAATGTAATGCAAATTCATCAAATCAAATACTCGGATTTTAAAAGCAAACAACGAAATCCGGAATCTGAGTGAATGCTTACGACAGGATTCAAAGGTAGCTAGTTTACTTACCATTAAAGGAAACCCAAAGCGTTACTATCATCGCTATAGTCTATATTGCAGTCATCATATCCTCTAAAGTATAAACACCAAATTACTGTTTTATCTCCTTTTTTAACTTATCTTAACCTTTCTTTTTCATATTGGATGTGATTCTTCTAAATCAAGCTACGATCTATTCGTGGAGAAATTCGAATGTTCTCACTACATGTCCAAAACATTTCTCAATGTCATAATTATAGAATCAAATTCAAGTTCAATTGAAGGTCTTTAGAAAATACGATTTTTTCATCTAATTTACTTTACAGATTACTTCAGTGCAAGATATAATTTGAACTTTGTACAAACGTTTGTGTTTTATAACTTAAAAAGACGTCATATACATTTCAGGGAATATAAGATGAAGAATCCCTTTTAGACATAATACATGAACGCAGCAGTTGGTTAATGGATCTCAATTGATAACTGGCCCAAGGTCTCACTTACATTAAATGATTATACTTGACTCTTAATTTTCATTGTCGATCATTTTATTACTATTTTCGGTCTGTAAAATTACAATTCCACCAGCTGAAGTGTAAGATATTTTCAAAATTATCAAGCCTTGTGACTGAAAGTAAAACTAAGTAAATTAATACATGTAATTTTAAACGTTTATTCATATGGAAAGTTACAGCCAATTTTCATCAAATATCTCCGATTCTCATCGAACGGTCTTCATTAATGTTATAAATACGTCTAATATAATCATTTAACTTACATATTCTACTATTGTTTTATTGTAAAGCAATTTAGAAACTAAATTTCTTCGGTCACTTAACATGGATACTAAATAACAGATATGTTACGTTTACCTCTTCTTAGTGGCTATTTCAAATAATTGTCATCGCTTTTACAAAATCTTTGTTTTACTGTTCCTAAAAACTAATTATTACCTGTTCATTCTTTTTACGCTTTAGGATGATATTTACAACTTAACTCATGGCGGAGATTCAAATCCATTAAAAGAAGCTTTATCATTATCTGAATTAATGCATGTTGTAGCCATCCTGTCTCATGTTCATGCTTTAGCTTGTTTCATATTTGGTTGTGGAATTCGTCCTGAAATCGATAATTATGATGGATTAATAAGCCTCAACTTGAATAATTCTAATGATGCATATACACAGTTTTATAATAATGAAACTAACAATGGAAGTTCTCCAAATAATCCACATAATTCTGAAAATGGGAATGCATGTTCTTGTTCAGTAGAACCATGGGACGATCATGTAAGTTTGATTTTCTTGTGGCTTGTTTCAGTAAATTCTTTTATGGTTGGTTTACTGTCATTTTATTTCTGATTCTTGTGCAAGGTTTCGATATATTTCAGAGCTGTGACACCCCTTAAAATTTTTATCTGATCAAAATTTGTCCCAAACTAACATTTTCCAAGGTTTTTAGAAAAGCTTAGTTTTTGTCAGTCTTCTATCAGCGGTAGATTTGTTACATCTATCCATACATGTAACAGTTGAATAAGTGAGGGTAGTAATCACTGGCAGATACTTTATGCACATTTAGTAGTCTTTAATTTTTTGGTGATGTCTTGAACCATTCACAACCCTCGCAACTGCCATGTCGCTGCTACTTTGCCGATCTCTTTCCATAATCTGAAAGCGTTCATCCAAACACTAAATGCTGGAGGTTATTTCTCTAGTAAAACTGATTGCACAGTATATTTCTCAATACCCAACATAGTCGTCAGTTGCACCGTGGTTTTCTGTTACGCATGCACGTAATCACGTCAACTTGATATGCTTGAACTATTACGAGTTTACCTTAGTATGAAAACGAGAGCGAGGGTCGAGGACCCGGCGACACTAGTGTCCCAACCCCCATTGAGTAAATAGGAATAAGAAGACTTGATATAAAGTAAAACCTGTATTCTACAAGCACTCAGAAAATAGGTGGTCCGAGTCCAGAAGAGAATCAGGATCCCGGACTAGGGACCCGGGTCCGGGTCATAAAACGTTACAGATAATGCGTATTTACACATTTAGGTTGAATAGGAAACAGCATCGAAGTCTGTGACATTAACAGTCAGGACGACCAATAAGAAACAAAATCGGAGCACATGACATTGATATCTAGGACGACCATAAAATTGACCAGTAGGAATTGACCAATAATTCTCTTAGGATATTGGATGAATATCCTAACAACGGATCCTCGATCCTGGCTCTCGTTTGTCGACTAAGGTAAACTCGTAATAGTTCAAGCATATCAAGCTGACGTGTTTACGTGCATGCGTAACACTTTCAACAGAAAATCTTGTGACCTGATACTATTTCTAATCTACGGAACATGTAGTGCCAGTTCACTTGGGACTGTTAACACATTCAGTTTTCACTTAATAAAATTGTTTATTTTATAGTGTCAGTGATTGGCAACCTATAAGTAATAGCGAAAACTGAGCTAAAACGTTTGGTAGTACAATACTAAACTGAAGGTTATTTCCAAAAAATTATAAAGTTATGCTCCTGGTGGTTTGTCAGACTACTCATTATAAAACAGCAAGCAAAGGTAATGGTTTTAATAACACCTCATGGTTAAATTCGTACTTGAAGTCCTGCATCTAAGGCGTTACTCATGAAATGATGTGAGTTCAGTATGTATTTTATAGCTTAGTTAGTAATAATGGAGTACAATCTTCACAAATAGATTGGTTTGCTAATTTTGCTAGCAGTTAATATAGCATAATAGGAAAAATTATTATTGTCTTCTTACGTATGTTTTTATATGGATATTCGGAGGATTTTAGATACAGATACATACTACTCAAGAGGTCTACTACCGAAGGTGGTTCTTCGCGTCTCACTATACTTGTCTGAAAAGTAATTCTAAGATTCAAACGTTTATGTTTTCTATCTGGTGGATAGCAAAGTTTGGAGTTTTCAATAATGTTTCGCTATGTTATTTTAAAGCGTATGCCACTGATAAATGACTTTAGATGGATTTCCGTTAGTTGTAATGAGTTTTGACTATTGGAGTCAGGCATTTTCGGAGTGATTCAGCAGTCTACTCATAACATCAGTTAACAACCAGACTGCATCACTAACTGACTGAATTAATGATATGGATCATTGGATTCCGGCCTAGTGTATTTTAAGTTAGTCTGTTGACAAAGAAACTCGCAGTTCTTGATCACTTTTCATCAAATAAAATCTTTTGTTTTTTAGGTTTCAGAAAACGGAAATTTAAGTCATCAGGATTCATATAACGACGAATCATCTAATGAAGATGGAAAATTAAAAGCTTCCAAATTATTAAAAATCATCCAGACAGAAGATTTAAGCTGGGAAGATGTTGCAGAAGACATTGTTGCTGAACAATTTTTGACTGCTATCGTGTCTAATAGTCAATGTGAGTTGTTAACTTGTTAGCTGTTAGGTATAATCAGTTATATTTCAGAATAAATGCTATAATAATTACAGCCCTTTATATCGGTAAAAAATCCCGACCATCGCTGCTTCCTTGACGTGGTGGTCGGGCTTGCCTATCGTGATGATCCAACCGAGCTATATTGGCTGGAACATATGTTCCTGAAGGTTCTACCATGCCAGGCAGGTCGATTAGAGAACGATGAGACTAAAAGCAGTTACCCAAGGTCTGAGGGCGAAGTCGTACTGCTGACTCCAGAGATATGTGACAGCAGTAAGGTGTTTCTCTCGGACAACCAGCATCTGAAGTGATGCTACCTTCTTACAAGGAAGAAAGGTTAGAAAAGGTCGACCCTAAAATTGTCACACCTCACCCTACCTCACGGATTTCCGTCTCCGGTGGTAAGGGTGCACACTAAGGGCTTTTAAGAGCCGGGGCTAACACTCAAAAAACCTTCATAAAAAGGCCGTGCGTGACCGGCTTCAAGCAGTTGTCCCTCGGGCTCTATGGTCACGCTCCCAGGTCGTTAAGACCAACACTACTAATCTACTTTTCTTTTCAGGTTCCTCAAGAAACAACCTTCCACGGTGTGAGCAGCCGGGAAGTGACATCTGCCCTCATACCCGTAACAACACGCAAGACCAAATCGGTCATGATCAAATCCTTCCTACACCCCATAATGCCTCTCTTATCTCCACGACTAACTCTTCTCACATTCCTTTATCACACTGCACATCTAATGCAAACGATGCGAGTTCAAGAAACCTCATTCCTGTTCTCCTGAAACCTCGTCCTAAATTACATGTTGGAGCACTTAGTGTACAGACATTGTGTCAAATAGGGCAACAGGCTTCCTTAGCTAGGATATTAAAATCTCGTTCAATCGATGTATGCTGCGTCTCTGAAACGCGCGTACAGAATCCTAGTAAAATCATTAATTTGACTTCACCTTATCAAAACAAAGAAGCATTCCGATTTACTCTTCGTGTATCCAGTAGCCCTGATGCTGCTTCCGGGGGTCTTGCTGGTGTAGATATAGCATTCTGTCCTAGGGCAGAACTAGCTCTCCTAGACTGGATCCCAGTAGGTAGTTGCCTGTGCGCTGTCCGACTGAACGGGACAGTAAGGACTCGGAAAGATAGGGACACTCGCCGTTGCCTCTTCGTCATATCTACCTATGCCCCCACTGACTGCAGTTCGGACGAGGTGAAGGATGAGTTTTAGAGAAAGCTTCCGGGTCTCCTCCAAAATGTCAGGCTCTCTGATGTAGTAATAATGGCTGGTGACTTTAATGCTCAAGCAGGTGGACTAGGCGAAAAGGAAAGACACCTCGGTGAATCTTATGATGTCGCGGCTAAAAGAACAGACAATGGCGACCGTCTTTTGCAACTGTGCTCAGATAACCGCCTATTCTTAGAAAACACTAACTTTAGGCATAAGGAAAAGCATCTCTTGACATGGCGACCCCCGAAGTTATCTCGACGTTGTACCCCACTAGATCATATCGCCATCAGCCACCGATGGAGGGCTGTCTCTCGTTACCTAGATTCAGACCATGCTCAAATGCGAGCGCGTATTTGTTTGCGTTTTACTGGACGCAAGCAAAATATTGCAAGGAAACCTCTTAGGGCTCTACTTAATGACAATAAAGCTAATAATACGTTTCAGGAGCAACTAGACAAACAGTTAAGCAGCCATGTAGTAGGTGATGTCCACCCTGAGGCAGCTTGGGATGATATCAAAAAGGCTGTGGAAATAGCAGTGATATTATCTAGTAAGGTAAACGATTAGGTTAGGAAGAAGCCGCGGATTTCAATAACATCTACGGAACTGATAGATGCTCGAAAACTCACCCTGTCTGTCTCTGAGTGTGATTAGGAGTGCGGTCAGCTTAGGCTCAGGTTGATAAAAAGCCTACGCAATGATCGCGAACTGTTGGTGGGTAGCGAAAGCAAGGGAGGTGGAAAAGGCAGCGGTGATAGGCAACAGACAACACTTGTTCCGACTTGTCAGGGAAACTAGTACTAGAAATATATCTGGACGTAATACCATCCGACTGGTCTCAATCCCTGATTATCCCAATTTATAAGAAAGGACACAAGTCTTGTGACAATCACAAAGAAATCAGTCTAATGAATATAGTTTCTGGATTGTTAGCCTCGATTATACTTAGACGCGTAACTAGAGCTCGTGAAGAGCAGACTAGAGAAAAGCAGGCTGGTTTCAGACTTGGTCGGGCTGTATAGACCACATTTTTACACTACGACAGGTGCTGGAACACAGACACATATTGGCGTCCGACGAGATTTGTCTTCCACGACCTGAAGGCAGCATTTGAGTCTGTGGATCGTGAGGTTCTGTGGTAGTGTTTGTCATTGAAAGGTGTACCAAAGAAGTACGTTAACGTTATACAAGCTCTCTACTCGAACACTACAGTTCGAGTAAGAGGTTATGGCGAACTGTCATCGGAATTCTTTACTTCAAGTGGTGTCCGTCACTGATGTCCACTTTCCCCGTTCTTGTTTTATTTTGTCATAGACATGCTTCTAGAGTTAACAGTATCTTCGTCTGAATTTTCAGTAGTGGTCGTTCTACCAAATATTCGGATGACCTAGTTTTACTTGGTGAAGACGCTGACAAAATGCAGTCTTCTGACTACCCTAAGCAATGATGTAAGCATGTGCGGGATGCGTATCTCCTCCTCGAAATGCAAAATGTTACTTCAGGATTGGGTTAAATCGGTACCTGGAGTGAAGCAGTTGGTCATGTTGACAGTTTCACTTATCTTGGGAGTCTCATCGATGCTGATGGCCTGTTGACTGACGAAATCTCAGCACTGATACAGAAAGCTTGATTACCTTTTGCCATCTTGCGTCACTAATGGCGTAGGCGAGATATCCGTTTGCTAGCTAAAGGTCGAGTGTACTGCGCAGCAGTTCTCTCCGTCTTACTTTATGACTGTGTAACCTGGCGAGTCATAGAAGAAGATATTCGTAGGTTGCTTGTCTTCGATCATAGGTGTCTCCGAAGTATTGCTGGTATATTCTGGGACAACCGAGTAAGCAATTCTTTCGTTAGGAAACGAGTACTAACTACGGATGACAAATCAGTTTATGAAGTAGGGAAACTCCACCAGCCACTCTTTGTGTTCTCTCAAGTCCTAACCATCTGAATTCCTCATCACCTGTATATTTTCCTCTGTAAATTTATTTTATTAGATTCTTCTTCTTGAATAATATCCTCGAACCCCAATCTTTATGAATACTGATGACACTTCTACTTCCTCTACTATGGGATTTGAAGTGAGAATTGCGTCTTTGTGCTGAATTTATGTACGTACAAAGTCCGAAATTGTAACTAACTAACCAACTTAATATCCGGATAAAATACTAAAATTTCAATGGTTGTAGTTTACCTACTTGTTATTGATTTTCTGAATTATTCTTTGAATTCTAAACTTCCATTTTTGAAGTAAATGCGGATCTATGTTTTTATCTATTCCTGAAGAATGTTAGAGTCGTGTTTTGATAGAACAAGATGCTGTTTCATGTTGGGTAGTTAAATAAAGAACAAATTATTCATTTTCAGGTTAAATGAGTCCTAGACGGTAGGCGTTCAATCGGAATATTATCATTTAATTTATTTTAACCGATTAACAGTCTCCAATATCAGGAACAAGAAAGTATCAACCCTTAGAAATACACGGTGATGTTCAAGGTGTAATAAAATTTAATGACTGATATTATTGGATATATCACGGAATTTAAGTTGGTTTAGCCTCTATTATTTTACCTTCCCAGGTTATATATTAGTAGACGACTTCTAGATTTCTTAAAGCATATTTTTAATTATGTTGCTCTCTGATTAGTTCTATTGAAGAACATGATGGAACTGGTGTTAATTTTTATGCACATACAGTATGTACTTTAAAGCTTTTTCGATATAGCTTTCCAACCTGCGTATGTATTCGTAAGGTTGTGAGTTCAATATAACGTTTACGGTCATCACAAAAGGTACTTCATGCAAAGACTTTATAACCGATTCTATTTTGTACATTAAAATCTGTTTACAAACTGTAGCCAACCAAAATTATTTAATTTTCCATCGTATATATTTTCATAGTCCGTTCATCTTTTGTTTACCAGTTTTTATTCTTGGTTAATAAATTCACATTTCTGCCTCTAAATCATAATTTGTAAGCTTAAAAATTGGATTTACTATTTTGTTAATGCTAATTCTTATGAATTATGAAAACTGTTCGTTTATATTATATGGTCATTTTATTTTTCTTGATTTAAAAGGACTTTTGCAAAAATGTAAAGCTGTTTAGTATTGATTGTTAATTTTCAGTGGATTCTGACGCTGTCTTTCCATCAAATAACCTAAGGAATCACATTCAACAATTATCTTATCATCCACTCATCTCACGTTTCTTAGATTCTCCACAGTCTGGTTACAAAGACTTTGATGCTCGTCCATTTCATGCAACTGTAAGTGCAATTAAATCACTTTATATGTTATTATTAAACATGTAATGGGAAACATTTCGATTGCATTCTGAATTTATTGCAGTTGACGAAAACACTATTTGGCGGGGTTTGTTGAGGTTTAAACATGTAGTTTTTCAATTAGTTGACATCACTTATTTGAAAAGTTATTAGAAATCAAATTACATGGATTAACTGTTGTCTCCTTGTCTAAGACTATTTTAGTTGTGTTTACAACCCTTTCCGTTATCATCAGATAGAACAAATTTTCACAAATCATATTGTTATGGATTAAATTATTTGATACTCTTTCAGGAAACCTATCAAGTTGAACAATCTCAGGTGGAAAAAATTACACCCACGGGATTGCGTGATATTGTAAATCACGAGAGTTGGTCTGATCCAGTTAATCTTATAATTTTGTTCCGAGTATGAAGGTTTTGAGTTTTGAGTATTCTCGACCACTGATAAGTTTTAAGCATAGATAAAATAACTGTTCAATACTCATTGGTATTCTGTAGTTTTTCACTGTGCAACCAAAATCATATCTTAACTTGGTTGTTCTGGTTTTCCATTATTGTCAGCTCTTACCCATTTTTCGTATACGTTGATCTTTTACATAGAGAATTATTTTCGCGACATGCATTCAGTTAAAGAATTGTAACTGACTAGCTGATCAACAAACAATCACAGATAATACTGGTCAATTCTTTTTTCGCACTAATTGTTTTTGGAAGAGGTAGAATGTTTCATTTTCTTCTTTTCCCTAATGTAAATAGACAACAGTCAAAAGAAAAAGTTAATTGCTGCGATGCCTTATGGTTTGGATTTGAACTGACAGTTACGTCTCTGCGCTGACGTGGTATGGCAACCTGAACTGATGTACTTATGTACGAAGTTCTGCGTTGTATCTGTCTGTCTGCTTTATGATGTTATTATATTGATGATCATGAGTGGTGGTAATATTAGTAGCATTAATAGTCGTCTCATTTTCATTGCATTTTAAATACTGGTTTAATTTATATATATGTATATTCACAGTTAGGTCCACTATCTTCTTAAATTATACCTATCATTTTTGTCAGTTGATTGTGTTATATTGAAGGTCAGTTAGTCAGTTACAACGTAGAACTTCGCACGTACATCATTTCAGGTTGCCATGCCACATTAGCACAGAGACGCAGTTGTCACTTCAAATCCCATAGTAGTAGAGGTAGTAGAAGTATAAGCAGTGATCAGAAAGATTATGGTTCGAGTATATTATTCAAGAAGTAGAATCCAGTAAAATAAATTTACAGAGCAAAATATACAGGTGATGAGGAATTCAGATGGTTAGGATTTGAGAGAACACAAAGAATGGATGCACCTGCGCCATTGCAAACGGTTTTGAGCCGTTTCGTTCAAGGTCTCTTACCATCGATTACTATCATCTCGCGGACCCTAACCACTTGTTAGTGACTTCATGGATTTCTGCCATGTTTTGGCTTGGCCGCCGCTAGATTTCTTCCAACCTATTCGTATACCACAAAACATAGCGCTACGCGGCAGTCGGTGATTAGGCATACGCAACACGTCCCAACCACCTCAACTGATGAAGTTTCATTACCTCATCTATTGATTTGCCATCCTTACATGTTACTCATTTCCTGCCAACAGCATTGCTTACTCGGTTTTCCCAAGATACACGAGCAATACTTCGGAGACACCTATGATCGAAGACAAGCAACCTACGAATATCTTCTTCTATGACTCGCCATGTTACACAGTCATAAAGTAAGACGGAGAGAACTGCTGCGCAGTACACTCGATCTTTAGTCAGCAAACGGATATCTCGCCTACGCCATTAGTGACGCAAGATGGCAAAAGGTAATCAAGCTTTCTGTATCAGTGCTGAGATTTCTTCAGTCACCAGCACTGATGAGACTTTCGAGATAAGAGAAGTGGTCACCACGCTCAAGGAGTAAATAAATACTTCGTATGTCTAGACTCGAAATCACTGTAAATAAGCAGTATATATTTATTCAGTTACCTAATATCTTATTACTTTATTTTGTCAGGTTATGTGAATAACTGGCGATCATAATTTATATTATTCGACGCTTTAATAACAAAACAGTTGATTCACTTCTCAAATATGAACATTGGTATAGATGGTTAATTACCCTGATAAATAGTTGTATTAAGTAGTTAATATTTTGTTGATAAGCCAAATTGTTAACTACGCAAATCATAGAAATGGACTCAACAGAGCAAACTACCTCACACTACTTTCTCAAAAGCTCTTTTACCTTTTACCAGGTGGCTCGCTTATTGACTTAGAATATGCCGATGACATTGTCCTACTTGGTGAAGACGCTGACAAAATGCGGAGTCTTCTGACCACCCTAAGCAACAATGCAAGCATGTTCGGGATGCGGTTTTCCCCGTCGAAATGTAAAATGTTGCTTCAAGATTGGGTTTCATCGGCACCTGAACTAGTAATAGGGAGTGAAGTGGTCGAACGTGTAGACCGCTTCACTTATCTTGGGAGTCTCATCAGTGCTGATGGCCTGGTGACTGACGAAATCTGGGCACGGATACAGAAGTCTCGATTGGCTTTTGCCAACCTGCGTCACTTATGGCGTAGGCGAGATATCCGTTTGCTGACTAAAGGACGAGTGTACTGCGCAGTGGTTCGCTCCGTCTTACTTTATGGCTGTGAAACATGGCCAATGAGAGTAGAAGATACTCGTCGGTTATTGGTTTTCGATCATAGGTGTCTTCGAAGTATTGCTCGTATATCCTGGGACACCCGAGTTAGCAACGCTGTTATTAGGAAACGGGTACTAGGTAAGAATGGCAGATCAATCGATGAAGTGGTGAAACTTCATCAGTTGAGGTGGTTGGGACACGTGTTGCGTATGCCTAACCACCGACTCCCTCGTCGAGCTATTTTTTGTAGTGTGGGAATAGGTTGGAATAAAGCTAGGGGGGGCAGACCAAAACATGGAAGAAATCCATGAAGTCATTGACGAGTGGACTGAGCCATGTCGGTAATTGTCGACTACGTGGTTGGGGTCCGCGAGATGATAATAATCGATGGCTAGAGACCTTGAATGACATGGCTCAAAATCGTTCGAGATGGCGCCAGTGCATTTATTCTTTGTGTTCTCTCAAATCCTAATCTTCTGGGTTCTTCAACACCTCTATTTTTGACTTTCTAAACTTATCTCATTGAATCATACTTCGTGAATAATATCTTCTAATTCTAACGTCTACGATTACTTCTAATACCTTTACTACCTCTTCTACTATTGGATTTGAATTGACAATTATATCTCTGTGCTGATGTGGTATGGCGACATGAACTGATGTACTTACGTACGAAGTTCTACGTTGCAACTGACTTTTACCTCTCCAAAGATTGTAAAACAAGGGAAAGTAATAGTTGTCATGTAACTAATTAAAATGCAGTGGAAAAAGCTCGAGTGGTAATAGGAGTATATTTGGTAGTAATATTAATAATAATCATCTTCCAGCGCCGAATGTCATCGATGTATGTATACTGTCTTCATTGATATAATACTGTAAATCAGTTACTTTCATTTAATTTGTAATAATTTTTTTTAAAGTGTGATTCTTCATTTGAAAAATTCATTTGCATCCTATTATCATCCTTTTCTCTTTACATTACATACTCTAGGAATATTCATGGCAAGAAGAAGGATTACCTTTAGCTGATCGTCTGTGCACTGAGCTCGGTTCACTTTTGGATGAGAAATTCCGAAATGCTTATGATTTGACTTACAATACGTGAGTATATTTTTTTTATCATTATAGTGCATTGTGTTTTAATTACCTTTCATTTGTTTTGCTATTATAAATCAGCTGCTCTACAGAAGGATGAGTTTTGGTATTTATTCGATGCATAAAACTCTTTAACTCTTTTTACTTCCTGTGTGTTGTCTTCAGTTTTCTTCCAAAGCATGACATTGTTTGTTAATCACACGATTCGACCTTTAACAATATAAACCCATAGACTGTTTCTATTGTGCTGTAAATGAGACGGCTGGAAAATGTCATTTGAAGTATTCTAATGATTCTAACAGTGACTGTATCACCTTTATGTGTGATGATCGTTCACCCAATGTAACTGACAATTTAAAGTTGATTTCTACCACTTGGGGAGGTGGGTTTCAAGGTTAATTAAGGACACTCGTTGACAGAATAGTTTACCGAATACTTACTAACCTAAGTTCTCGACTTGGATGCAGTAGGTCACAGGTCTGGACCTTGTTTCAACTACGTCGGTTTGTGTAGCGTAATGGTTTCGTCGGAATTAGCACACAAAGCTGAATATGCAAATATGTACCTGTGTGAGCTACTGGGTTATTACAAATGAAAATGCAGACTGACTATCTTGAAATAATACAAATTAACACCGTCTAGTGATTTCTTAGCTGTTTATAAAGGCAGATCGTTGATACAAGCATAATTTATTATCGTAAACAAAGAAAGCTTAAGTTTAGGTATTAATAATTTTGTCACGAACTAACACCAACTATCGTGCAAATAGGCTATAGCTAGGCATTTGGAGGTGGAAAAGAGTTGGGATTAAGGTTACGGTTTTCAGCACAAGCTAATGCTATCGGTAATCCAATTATGCTTTGCCACTTTTTTAATTATCAACTTACAAACCCAATTGTGAGATTGTGAGGAGCTATGAATTAAAGTAGAAGATTGCTTTTTAGTTACACAAACAACCTTGACTACAAATTGAATGATATCAAGTGCTCTCGTACACAGTTCGCATTATCAAATCATATTCACTGAGCCGTCAAAATAGTAGATTTTTAACGTTCATATCTCTCTCTGTGCTTGCTGATAATATAATTTGAGCTGTTAGTTAAAATAAGGTGTTCTATTTTCTTTGTTCACCTTCTGCGTATTGGACACCGTTGTAAAACTGTTGTAATAACTAATATCTGATTGACTGATTGATGTGTGAAGCACAGGAATAGTAGCAATTATATTCATCATCAAGTAAAGATCAGAGAAACTACTAAGCATATAATTATGTTTCAGAAACAAAAGAATGCATTAGAAAGTTACATTTGTTATTGTTTAGACTGAGTTGAGGACTAAAAATGTAATAATTTCCTCTACGTTGATGCTTAATAAGTTGAAATAATAAGAACTTGTCGTTTACACCTGAAAACAAATATGATAGCATCAATCAATCATTGTTAGACCACCATTAGAAACCTGGAAGCACTAGACGGCCGTTTCGTCCTAGTATGGGACTCCTCAGCAGTGCGCATCCACGACTCCTGCGTTCGCCTACAATGCCAAAGGTCCCGGGTTCGAACCCTGCGAGGAGCAGGAGTCGTGGATGCGCACTGCTGAGGAGTCCCATACTAGGACGAAACGGCCGTCTAGTGCTTCCAGGTTTCCAATGGTGGTCTAACAATGATTGATTGATGATTTCAAATGTGTAAAAACGCAAACCTCCAAAACTGTGCTCCAAAATATGATAGCTTCAATTTCTGTGATAATACCGTACTTATTATTTTTCCATATTTTCTTCTTTCAATAGTCTAAACGGCATTCAAAACGTTGATACATCTCTTTATCGTCGTACAGTGTGGAATGAAGTGCAAAGTTTTTTCGGTATATGTCATGATGATTTTCGTTATGATCGTGTAAATCGTTTATTAACTAATTCACAACGTGCCTATTTAAAACTGTGCGCCACTTTTCCAGTTGCTGTTTATACAGTTCAAAATCTTAAATTTGAAAATATTTTTCCCGCTCTGTCATCTTCTGAAATGGTAAGTTCGGGTTTCTCATTATTCTATTCGTTTGTCGATTAGTCTTCAAAATACTGTTGACTACATAAATGTACTGTTGAATGCTTACTATTCTGGTAGTTTGTTTCAATATATTTTACGAATGGATTAAAAATGTTTGTCAGGATTACCACTTTTGTAATTGTAAAGGATAAGCTGTTTTCAGACAACAGTTCTCACTATTTGTAATCTGCACCACATACTGATCTTAAAAAGATTTTAAACGTTAGTAAGTCATATCCGGCCACGGAAAGGATCGAAGTGTCACCATATTCTTCTGAGAACATAAATTGGGGTTGAATGTACGAATTTCTATGGCTTCTGCTATGTGAAGGAGACGGGATCGAACTTCATTGGGAAATGATGGAGGTATATGATAGATCACTAGAAAGGATACAAATTTATTTATAATATGACCACTATCAAGCAGATGTGCTAAGACAGAACTGCGTATTGTTTTTAACTGGCCCTTCATGAACCATGCAGGGAAGTGTTCACTCATTCATCGGTTAAGTTGCCTGGTCGTATTATTATTAGCTTTATTTTCACATCCTGTATTTGTTGGTAATTTTCTGCCTCTTTCCGTTTATATTCTTCACTGTCTAATTAGGTACACTTCTTATTACGTAATGGTTTAATGTTTTGTAATGATTATTTTAAGTTTATTTATCCACGTTTGACCTACTATTGATAAAACTTTTGTTATCGTATTTTATTTTTCTTGCTAATATCAGTACACCTATCTTCCTACTATCAACTTGTACTTTTGCTTATTATGTGTAGTGACGTAATCTATCTCATTTTATTGTGATTATTGACTCAAATTGCCTTGATTGGTTTAAAATCTTCATATAAATATCCATGTATATTAAAGTAAAGCCTGATGACGATCTAATCGAAAACAATATTGTTCGCTTATATGTGTTGTTCTAATTTTCACGTTGGGAATCTTTAATGATCTTAAAAAGTCATTGAAAACTAGGGAGCACTATACCGACGTTTCATCTCAGTATGGAAATCTTCAATTGTGCACATCCGCAACCATACTAGGGTTAAAACACAGGACATTCAGGCTTCGTGGTAAGCGCCTTACCTTCAAATCAGTGTTACGTGATCCGACTCATAGTCCAAAGAAACCTTGGCTTCTAACTATTGAATTCACAAATTTCAACCGCGTGCTTTTAAGCTTCAGCTACTTCAGTTTAGACAGCCGATCAATATTATTCGCTTTTGTATTCTGTCATCAGTATTATTATTGTTATTATAATTATTATATAATTCCTTGTGTTCCTGTATTTTATTCTTTTTTCCTTAAAATCTTTTGGTTTTAGATCCATGTAATCCTTATGATTATTGAAGCCAGACAACAAGCTTGTCTCCTATATATTCTTCGAGCGATTTCTCAATGTCAAGTCAGAAATAATTGAATGTATATACATAATATATCTCTTAATTAATATTTTCTAGCAGGTGTGTCTATTTCATAGTTTCACGTATACAGAACGTTTATTGTTTCAAAGACTTTTTTTGATTGATAATTGGTAGTTGATCAGATTAGCAGGAGAAACTGTCCGAGATCAATAAACATAATGGATATTGTATTTGATATGTTTACACAACAAAATAACTTTAATAATAATATGAAATGATTACTGAAATCAGTAGTAAGAGTGAAGAGGAATTTACCAGCAGAAACTTGAATAGATGAAAAGTCTATGTGATTATGATATGCTACAATACATAGCTTGACGGCAATGTCTATTGTTCCCATTTTTGTCTTATTTCTCCTACATCTTTCGTTCTTCGACCCCAGGAACCCGTATTGCTTAGTGTGCTTCAGACACAACTTCACCAGTCCTTAAAATCAGAACGAATCTCTGACAGGTACGTTATTATAAACCGCGATGGATGGGAGTACATCATAATAGGAATAGCGGTAGTATATTTATAATTTTACACTAGATTCCAGAATCTTCTCTAACCATCCTTTAACGCTGATAAGCTAAGTATTAGCCGAGACGACTGGATAATTTACGTAGCTTTCTGACCGTTCAGCCTGCAGTTGGATGTTCCATGTGAAAAATTTCTGTCCACTTACTGTATGCATCAACTACCAGAGGTTAAGTTCGTCCATGCAGTGGACCAGCGAAGTTCAAGTGTATACGCTACCTCGGCGACTGTCGTATTGGCCATGATTGCGGCAGTCTTTTGCTGCTCTTTCACTGCTGATGCACATTTGGTACACAAACAGGATAGCTATTCTAGTTGGCTGTCTGATTGTGGCCACTATCCATTAACTTTGTTCTAACGATTTCGTGCGACTTATTCCTGAATGTCCTGCAATCGTTAAAGAGCTGCTGGTTTAGCCTTTAGGATTGTAACACGTTCGGCAAATAGAAGATAATCATTGGTGTTAGAAAGCGAGAATCTGAAGTGGCAAAACTCTTGAAGCACTGCGGAGTTGATCTTTAAGGCCACCCTTCTAAGTGGCATTGTTTAACAACTTGCAGGACTGTCTCGAAGAGTTTCTTCGCTTCATCTGATGATGCTGATAAATGAGCTTTCACCATAGTGCAATGACCAAGGCTGACCTGAAAAACAGGAGCAAGTTTTCTCCTCTCCTCTGTTTTTGTTGTGGTTATCGGGTTGTCCAATGAATATAGAATACCGATCTCCTGATTAAATCTTACTTTATGTCCTAATGGTTTCAATTTTTCCTGTTTGTTTTAAAGTATAATGTTTTCGTATTATTTGAATCGACTCTATTGTTCTTATTAAAAGAATTAAATTTCTGTGATCACTTAAAAAATCCGGTTTTTAATTGTTTGTCATCGGTTGGTTTTTATCTATATCTAGTTTTGGAATTAAGGAGTTACGATTTAATCGTGTAAGTTGTGTCATTGTTTATTTAAGACATTGTATTTAGCTCCAGTTGTCTACACTTACAGATAGACTTCTTTTACTGTTTAGTCAGAAAGCTGATCTGCTATTCACCACCAATCTGCGTCACATTTGAATACAATTGCGTTTTACTTTATTGAATTTCATATCCATCAGACAGTTGTTGACGAGTAACAGCTTAGGTAGACTGTAGATATTTCATTACAGATTTGTTCGAAATGCTACCTTCTCGTAATTGAACTACCAAATAACATATATCGACAACGCGTAAAAGTTTTTTACGCAATTTGATAAGATTTCAGATCTATGTTGTGTATAAACGTTCATTGCTTACTCATGTATGCAACACTATATGGCTAAAAAGCGACATAATAAGGCTTGTTATTATTGTTATTATTATTATTATACCGAAAGTTGACGTTACTAGTTTGCTCATTCTAGAGTTACTGTGAACATAATTGGTGAGATGCCATACCTATTGGTCACTTGCCTTTTTATATTTTGAAGTTACCACTATTTTAGATATTACTACTATTGGTAAGATTTTAAACCAGTAAATTTCTTGTCAACGGCTTTATACTTATGAATCTGTGATCCAATATTTCATAAATTTCGCTCGTCATTGTTTCTTTTCAGCTGCCTACAACTCTTCACTACGGATGTCATGTCGGTTGGTTCATCTTACGTGTGTGAATCGAAACACCGTACTCAACGTACTTCGTTCCCTATTCTTATTCCACTAATGCATTTGCACTCACTCAAAATACTTTCATCCGTTCAGCTAAACAAATTCTCGCCCCTTTTTTTTATTGGATTATCTTTCTTTTTTGTTAGCATAATTCATTCTATGACAGTTTATTTGCCAACGTCATCATCGCTTTGTTTGTGTGTGTTTATTTCTTCTTCTATTCGGATTTAATTCTACTTTTTTCAGTTGTCAATTAATTCATTGTTGTCCTCTTTTTTCTTTGAGCTTAAGATATTATCGGTAGCGTTCTCAGCGTCAAGTGTCTATTATTATTATTATTATTATTATTATTACTATTGTATTTTGGCCTTTTATATCCTTTTACTGTGATTATTTAAAAAAAAAAAGTAGTTTTATATTGCTGCATGTATGATAGTCCAACTATTTAAAAAGGAAGCTAATATTTAAGGTGCCTACTTCCTCTGACGTTTTGTCGGTTGGATTATCCGTGTGTTTTTTTTTTTTTTATTATGTAGCCGCATAACTTTGTCAATTAAACTCGTAAACGTCTGTGCTTGCGTTTTTTTCACTGTGTTCAAAAGTATCCCTCTGTGTTGATTATTGTACATTTATTGTTTATTGCAGATTGGTGTTTTGTCATTAATTGTTTTCTGTGCTTATTGTGATTTTATGTTCACATTCAAATGATGTTTCCTTTAAGTTAAGAGTAGGCAATTTCACAGTTTACTGGCCTTTGATTCTTTTAAACTTTCCCTATTATTTATTCCCTTAGTTGTGGTGCGTTAACTTAACTAGTATTCTCCTTGTTAAGAAATAATTGGTTGTTTATATTCCTTTGAATCATGTTTAACATGCCCAAATATACCTGATACTTAATGTTTAGTTGCAAGTATTCTTCCTGTCTATTGTGAAACTTCACCCATGATTATACACACGTGTAATTTTGTTGGTCCAATTTAGAATTATTTTTATTGGAAACAGTTTGCTGTGATTTTCTCACTGTATTCAAAAATTTGTGGCGTTCTTGTTTTTCCACAGCTCCTATCTTATTACCCACTTTTCTCTGTGTAGTTTTTACCATCTGTCTGTTGATGTTATTATTTTACCATGCAACAAAATGAAAGCTGTCACAAAAAATAATTTCAGCGAATCACGGTTGACGGTTACTGGAAACATTTTGTTTTATTTTTCTTTGAATACCGTTGTTCAATATCTTCTGATTTGTTAATGCATTTCGTTCAAGCCCAATTTACAAGAACTAATGTGTTCATAAATAATAGATTTTTGTGATTCAATTTGAGCGTTTTGTGCATAAATATACTGCTGTCGTCTATGTGAAAAGCCACATCATCTTTATGAGACTGTAAATTCCTAGTAAGACAACATGTATCCTATAAGCTACCAACAGTCTATAAGGAATTTCCCGAAGTCACTAATTATGTTATGTACAGTAGCATTAAAACGTATGATTTACTGACTTTGTGTTGGTTGATAAGGAATTTTTAACATCTTCACAATGGTAACGATCACCTGAATTTCTCAGATGACGCTTACACTTTCGTCGCTATATCTTGAATCTATTTTCAAAATTATATTCTATATTGATTAATAAGCGGATACTGGGAGAGTGACTGTCCCGTCACAACGTTGTACATTCAGTCACATTCAAGTAACTAACCATCTCAGTGTTCTATCAATCGATTGCTGTACCATCGGTTTGTAGATAATGTTATTTGATAGCTAACCCGTGGTTAACGTTTTCATTCTAAAGTTTACTTTATACTAGCTGTTTTACCAGTCCAATTTCATGTGAAGTTTCAGAATGTGTCAATTAAGGTAGATGATTTATTCTGATGAAGCAAATAACTTCCGTTGATTATGAATATCTGTATACAATTGCGTATATTTCTCCTGGTCAAATCTCCAGTTGTTTGTCAATATTTGTAAGTAGTGGAATAAATTTGAATAAAATCACCTTGATTATTAGTTTACTTGTCAATGCCACAAAGGTAGTGACAGAACTGACAAGTGATGAGGTGGATTCTAAATTTCATAACTGAATGGAATAGTAAAATATGGTGTTTCTAATGTTATCCTTCAGAAGGAACGCATGCAAAAGACAATCTTAGTGTGATTATAAAACAATCCGACTAACATATTAACTGACTATAATAAATCGAAAGCTAGATTCAACATTGGTGCATACTGATAACAATCAAAGAATTAAAGCAACCAACTGTCCGTTTTAAAATGACAGGAAATAAATTAAGATTGGTTGAATTCATCGGTGTGACCCTGTATGAAATAAATTATGGTTTACTTATTTTGAAATAAATTGTTGTGTTTAAGTTTAAAATGATACAATTATATATGAAATCAGTGAATAACACCTTTAAGTTATAGTTTTACGCCTCATCAGTAAGGGATGGGACTGTGTAGAAAGAAACCAGAGCAATGACTAGTTAATAGTGAATAACTATATCTTCGAAAATGAAAGTGAATGATGGGAAGATTTGTAAATGTATGTAGTATTGTATGGTGAAGTCTAGGTCGCCCTGTCATGCGAAGTAAGAAGTTATTACACAATAATCAGAACAGTACAATCACCATCTAGATAAAGGTAAGGTTGATCCTAAAGAAATAAGCAGGAGAATAAAAGATAGAGCAGCTTGATCAACAGAAATGGCAATTCAGATTGTATCTATGGTACCTGGCGGTTTGTCGTTAATGGTACCAACCCAACTTCTGTCTGTCGCTCAAGCTACACATACTTCGGTGCATGTGGCATAATTAGTCTGAATTGATTGTACTGTAATGGATCTATTGTCTGATTAGAAGATGGCCGTAGGAACAGATTATCTATCCCCTTTCTAAGTAACCTCTGCACCTAGATCACATTATTTACATGCCCTATTGTATTTATTGACTTCGTATATGTTTTTAGCATTATTATTTGAGATTACATCCCTTGTTTTCATTACCTACCCTTCCGAAACTCTACACCTTTTCTAATTGTATCTTTTCACTTGTTCACTTTTTTTGGAGTAAACTGTTCCTAATCGGAACCATTGATTTATGTGATACTTCAAGTAGAAATGTATTCTTATTATTGAAACTAGTCCAGCATGTCGTTCGTTTTCAGTTGATTTTGTATGCTTTATATTTTATTGTTAATCGATTACCCTAATTTAACTTAGAGTATGCTGCATACTTACGGATTTAGGTGTTCTGAAAATACATTTTCCACTGAAAATAACCTAATTTTTTTATATTGATTGACTAAAATAAACACAAAGATAAAGTATCACTGGAAAATTACACATGTTTCGTTAGTACTTAGATTTTTTCAATGATTCGAAATTGATCGAAGGCTATTATTATCTTGATTGCTTTTTTCGATAATATACGTCATCAGTATAAAACTAGGTAAACATGTGAAGTATGAGACAGAAAAAAAAATCGGATGAGGAAATTATATGGTGTGATAAAGCCAGTGTGATGATAACAACAACAGCAATGATTATTTGAATTACAATATCATTTAAATCAATACTCGTGTACTTGGAATCAGTGGATGATTTCGTTTCGTTTAATAAACATACTGGATAAATACATAAATGCTGATGGAGAATTCGGTTTTGTTATATTTCTCTCCTTTAAAATACAAAATACCAGATTGAAACTTATTGCCAGACTTCACGTTTATTTTAGTTGATGAACTCAGCGTACGAGTTTCCGTACTGAAACGTCTACTTTCCTATTAAATGGTTAGTATACCATATGATGCATTGCTTTTCGTATACAACCATGTTCTTTGGGAGTATGGAATACTTGTAGGCGTCAAGTATTGTGTCCTAGATATATTCTGTAGAATCTCTGGATGTAGTAAATACGATTTTAGTAGTAAGTTACTATATACAGGTAGTGAACTTGTCAATGTGTTTTTCAAGTTTCCTGAGATTGTTTGAACACTTACGTGTTCTGGTGGTTTGCCTACGCAAAGGAGGTATACTAGATGGTACAGGAGAGAGCTACGGATAATCAGTCAAGACAGCATAAGTTCATGAGACCGTTGACTATTAGTGTTAGCAGATTTGGATGTTATAGAAATCTTTTTATAAGGGTTCACAAATGTAACTTGTGGTTGGAGATTTCGAGTAAAAAGATCAAAACTCAGTCACGGGCGCCAAATAATGCTTAGCTGCTTGGAATGTTAATTCAACTTAAAACGATAAAAAGGTATATTCAGTCCAAAAAATTCATAAACAGTAAATGGGCAGTGACAACGAGAAATGAGCATAAAGGCAGCAACCATTTATGATGAAATTCCATAAATCCCTTTTGAAAGCTAGGTACAGAATTTTCTCAACTTTTATACGTTATATACTACTTGCTTTCGTGAATACATTGCGTTAAAATAATATAATAATCAGAATTAAGTAATATTTCATTCAAATAATACAATCTTATTTCAGAAGACTTCGGAGGACATTTTTTTTCAGTAATTATCAATGTTCAGACAGATTATTAGGCGTCAAATATTTACGGTCTTCTATCTATCAATGATAAGTAGCTGTAATTAACTGAATTCATCAACTGGAAATCGTACTGGTTACTAAACTTTAGGTCACCTGTTATTATGATACTACTCAGAGTAGATAAATTATGTGAGTGAAAATTATTTTACGGGTTTGTTATGCAGTAACAAATTAAATTAGGTGAATTTATTTCAACTTCTGTTCAATAATCAAGATAAGTATGTATTATCGAAACAAAATTTTATTCAAGATTTAGTAGAAAAAATATTGAATAATTAATAATCTGAGCAACATAATAAAAAAAAGAATACCAACGGTTTAATTCAATTATTAAAGCAACTAATTCACCAAGTACACGTTTATGTTTTTGAATTTGAGTCACAGTATTTCTGTGAAGACTACTGATGTTATTCATCTGTTAAAACCGCATTAAATGAAGTGAGATTCGAATATACAACTTACTGACTGAAAACCTTGCACGGTTATGTGAGATAATAGTCACGATTAATGTCCATATATGTGACACTGAAGAAATAAAGTTCGATTCTGTAAATTGGCATCAGTTCTCTCTGATCAATTCTTCATATCTAGTATATGGAGAAACGTTAATTTTCTATAGTTCAGAACACTACTTTTCCTGATTGTGTTTGTCGTTCTAAACTGAATACAAAAGCTTATACTTAAGTATTTTAACTATTTATTAAAAAATATACTTTGAGTTTAAGACCATCTATTTTTGTCACATCTGAATTTCAATTAAACTGAGGCATAACATCCTACAGAAATTTTAAAGTATTTAAGCCTTACTTTCAGCCTAATTAGTTATGGAAAGCAAAAATACACAGTAAATGACTTCGTTATTCTTAATGAAATAATTCTGTCACTTGGATACCAAGAAGGTCACCCATAGAAGTTTGTTATGTAACTATGCATGAGATAATAGATTAGGTAGTTATTGATTGAAACCGAAACTGTGACCTGCTGATCAATTATTCTGGAATTTCGAGAATCAATACTGAATTACTTGGGCACTTTAGAATTCCAGAAAAAGTGATAAATTTTAATCAACACTAATCACTTATACTGAAATAATCATAACATTTATCGGTGATTTGTAATAATATGTGTATAATTCTACATTTACAGATTTTGTCTTAACAGTCTGGGGTTAAAATAGAGTAACATGTCTTCAGTGGACAATTCTAGTGGCATTTTGGTTGTCTCATCGACTTTCTGTACAGTCCTGGTGTTACTTGTTTATACCTGAAACCCTAACATTTGTCACAAATAAACAGTCTACATTTTCTACAATGAACTAAGCTCCTTCTGAAAATCTATGGAACCATTTTTTAATGAATTTATATATTTACCAAAAATTCTGATTGGGTATTTATACAATCAGTTATTTCATACACTTTGGATTTTTGAAGGAACTGTGTAAAATCGTTTTTAAAAGATCAGTTTTCCATTTTTATATTGTTTGGTGTATTTACTTAAAGTTGTTTACAGGATTAAAAATCGTATGACATTAGCATCTGTAAAGCTAATCTAATTCGTGTAGTGGCCATGTAGTTTAAGGCTTAATAAAGACTGAGTAATTTGCTTAACATAAACAAGAATGGTTTGAGCAACACGGATGGAAAAATAATATTGATTTGAAGAACTGGAGCGAATTCACTGAAGAATAAACAATGATTATCTGATGAATAAATGAGGAACCAGTCAATTAATGAACGAAAACATTTATTCATACACAAACACTGCTCATACTGAAAATAAATTTAGTTAGTTAGTCAGTC